AACTTGCTCAGTGATGATTTGTATTGATATTGTAGCTTATTTGGACTGTTATTTCATACAGGGCATAGTTTTTTTTCAATTCTTCTTTCTGGTATTCTTACATATTTTATCTCATGCATTTAAAAACAGTATGTCAGAAATGATACACAGGCTCACCAGGACACAGTAAGAACCCACGGCCTCAGATGCTTGTGAATATTCTGAATATCTGATATAAATAAAAGATCTTAAAAAAATTCCAGAGAGAAAATACTGAACAAATAGAATAATGCAGAATTAATGGTATTGAGCATCTTAGCACTAACTTAGGAAGATGAATCCATCTACCCAATGTCTCCAGAGTTCTGAGGGAACATGATTTCTTAGCTAACAATTTGCCCATTTCCAAGTACTAATTATCACCGTAAGTATAGCTACTGATAGGTGCAAAAGAAGTTTGTCACTGATTCCCTCTTCCTCAGAACAGCACCAGCACATGCTTAGTGCCCCAAGGGAGGCAGCAACCTGAGAAGAAGTCACAGAAGTCAGAAAACAGTGAACCAAATGTGGGGATTTTGAAGGGATTCCCCAAAATAGGGGTGAACACCTGTGTTTCAGAAGTCAGCCAGGTGATAGCAGGGTGACAGAGGGCTCTGCTGGCGACAGCAGCAAACTGAGCACTGCCACAGATGCTGGAGAGCTGAAATCAGGTGAGGAGGAGGATGGCCTTGAAGTAAATATAAGAAGCAACAATTAAATGTCAGGACAGAGGAACACAAATGAGAGTAAATATGAGCACAGCTCACTGTCTGACTTCATAAGGAGCCACATGTGTTGGTTATAGAAATGAAAACTGTCTAAGGATTTCACACAGTAATCATATAGATTTGTAGGCAAGGTGAAGATCAGAAGGGTCTGCATAATCAGCTTTAATATGCTGCTTTTTAGTAAGAATGAATAGATGATGACAATAATGAATAAAGGCCAATACTCTCCACGACTGATAGAGAATGTGGAATAAAACAGTAAAGGAATAGCTGTGATCATTGACTGTACAAGCAGCCAAAGCATGGATAGGGCAGGGTGGTGGGAGAAAGGGAACTCTGTTCATGTTTTTTCTTATAACTCTCTGGGCAGTACATGAGTTTGGTTTTTTTTTTGTTTGTTAACTAATTGCCTGTATTTCTTGGCTCAAACAATGGCTCAAGAAATCTCTTATTTAATGGATTTGGAAAAAGTCGAAATCTGAAAGAAAACCGTATTGATCATATACTTTCCTAAGCATTTTTTGCATGTGCATCAAAACCTTCATCACTAACACAAACTTAAATGCTGGTTTAACTTACACATTAGTTGAAAACTGGGTAGTTCCTAGCATTATCTGAAGTAACACTTACTGTTTTTAAATTGCGTAAGCACCTTACATACATTTTAAAATATGGTATTAGCCAGTGGCAATAATAATGTTTAAAACTATTACAGTGATGATGTAATTTTTCCTAATAAACATCATTCTTAATATGATAGGAAGAAGAGTTTTGATCTCCTTAACTTGGCTGAGACTCCAGTAAATAGTTTATGGCTTGAGTTACGCTTCTGAGAATTTTCAAAATAAATTGAGTACCTCCTTGTACTCTGCTTTTAAATTTTATAGCATTCTGTCTTTTCCTTATTTGAGGAACTCTTGAGATGTATAAGATTCCATTTGTGTAAATCGTTTCATTTGGCTCCCCCAGACAGCATCTCTCTGAAAAGCTCCATCATGAGCGTGTTAGGGGACAAGCCACTCCTGGGGTAGGAGAGGCACAGTAAGAACCCAGAATGCCTGGGTCACACACAAGCTTTACAACTCACTGAGTGCTGGACTTCAGGCTTTGTCTTGAGTTTATTGGCTGAGTTTTCAGAGCTTTTCCTTGGGAGTTTATGATGAAGAGCTCCCTTAGTGATGCCTTTAGCATTAAATGTGATATTTTTACGGTAGAGAGCCCTAGTGTCTGAATGACCACTCTTTTATCAGAACCATCATCTCAGAGCCTCACCACAGGCCTTTCTTGGACAGGATGATGGGGACTCACCCAGGAAGGGGAAACCTCAGCTTCAGGCCTCAGGAGCAGCATGCTTTGGTCCACAGCTCTTAGGCCACAGAGGGACTGAGGAGAAGCTGTAACACGCAGATGGGCCTGTGAGGCGGGAAGACTTTGGGCTGGGGTGAAGGTCAGGTCCACCTGTGGGAAGGGAAATCAAGCTTAGCCAGCTTCCTGCTCTTGCAGCCAAGAAACCTGCCATGTGAATCACCCTGTAACTTTGCATGCACATTGTTTACCAGATTATGACTGTCAGAACTCAGCCAAGGCTCTTTGCTTCCTTTTCACCACTGGGATTGAGTTAGGAAGACAGGAGATGTGTCAGTCAGACTCTGAAGCAACACACAACTATTTCAGCTCCCTGAAATTCTTGTTAATAGCTCATTTTTGGTATGTGAGTGTGGTGTAATGCACACATGTGTGCAGGTGCATGTATTCATGCACCCAGCAGAGGCCAGAGGAGGGTGTGTGTGTGTCCTGCTCTCACTCTCTATCTTATAGACTTGAGACTGTCTCTCATGAAGTTGGAGCTACACTGGCCGGTGGAAAGTTCCAGCAATTCTCCTGCCTCTGGCCTCCACAGCAGTGGTGTTGTAGAAGCTTCCAGTCATGCCTGGCTTTTTACATGAGTGCTGGGATCTATGATTCAGCACACATTTAACAGTGATGTATCATAACATTTAATAACAGCAAAGCTCTCTTATCTGTGTGTCCTTATCACACACATAGGAAAATCATAATGAAAAATTAGAAGGAAACTAAATACATTATCCATTGATAGGCCTGGATTCTATTACTGGTCTTGCATAAAGTGATGTGACATTAGGGACTATGAGATTGCTCAGTGGGTAAAGGCATTTGCTGTTGACCTCATGACCTGACTTTGGTCTCCTGGACTCATGTTGGAGGAGACAGACATGTGAACATGGTTCTCTTTCCCCCACATGTGTGCACTCATGTGCACGTGCACATGGCATAAATATAATGATTTTTAAGTTACAGGATTTGGGCTTGTTTGGCCGTTTTTTATTCCTTCGTTTCCCTCTCCTGCTCCACTTCCTTGCTTTCTTTCTTGTCACCCTCCAGCCATTCTGGGGGTTTGTGAACAGAAATCTGGCACTCTGGTACTGTTTATATTTCTGCCACTGAGGCACATACCAATTGCCAGGGTTAGTGTATCTGAAATCTGTATCCTTAAGCCATTTTTTCTCTTTTCAAATAGAAATTTAAAGAAATAAATCACTCACTTTGTTGAGAAGACACTTTTCAACTTCAAATTTTGCAGAATCTGCAATCATTTCTCCATCAGGCAAGATGGTGTAGACCAGTACTTTAGTCTCAGGAGCCATGCTCAAGTCCACAGGGATCTCCAGGGCAAAGTCGCCTTTCACTGGAACTGGAGGGAATGGGAAGAGACAGTTATGGGTCAGAATACTGACAGGAAAACTCAAATAACTAAACACAGTGGACTGGAGGACAGTCTGTATGTGGAAGACATTCTTACATCTGGGCTGTTCTGTGGTTAATTGTTTGTATGCTAATTATTTCAGGAGGGTATGGGACGCTCACAGTAAGATACCTTCCACCAAGATGTTCACCATGGAAAGTTATATTGCTTATTTATAGCTATTCACATACTAACCTCTTATCTATATTACATCTTAACATTCCAAAAGTATCTGTTAGATACTCCTGTTATAAAAATGGGTGAAACAACCTTGACTAATGTTTCATTTATTATTTAGATAATAATATAGATGAAAAATATAGATGGCAACCTGGTACTCAGGGAGCTGATATTTAATGATTATCTCAGAGGAGTAAGTTACATTTGAAAACAATAAGCATATCTTTGTAGTCAATAAAATGTTCACAGTATATTTCTTGAGAAAAAATTAGCAATTTTAGAAATCTCATATTATTTCTGGTGAACCCGAGGTGATTCATAAACCTTCTCAAGATGAGTGCTATAACTTGCATTTCCCTCTGAGATACCACCTTACGCCTGTCAGAATGGCTAAGATCAAAAACACTGAAGACAGCTTATGCTGGAGAGGATGAGCTAGGGCAACTCTCCTCCACTGCTGGTGGGAATGCAAGCTTGTACAACCACTTTGGAAATCAATATGGTGCTTTCTTAGAAAATT